TTTTTTTACGAATTGTGCATTTGTCTCACTGCTTTTCAACCAGATCTACAGCTATCCATGTGTTCATCGTGCGGTTCGTTGGTCCTACACTGTCTTTTTGTTCAGTTGTTGTCTTACTGTGGTTACCACTAAACTGTCCTATACCTCTTCAGAAGTACTTCCAAAGATATTGCGTCAACACCTCATCGTGGTAGCCGAATGCATTCCTCACAATCGTCAATGGATGAAGAACCTTCTGAGCCGCTTCAATCCACGTCTAGTGCTCGAGTTCTTCAACCATTCGAAGATCTCTCGCCAATTGCCGAACATTGCCCAAATGTGCCAAGATTTACACTAAGTGATTCCGATGAAAACCCTTCCGAAATTGTGATAGCACAGCGGAGAGCGAAATTTGCTCGAAGTCGATCATCAGCTACGGGAGCGTCACCAATCAGTGCTACTTCTGTATTTTCGAAGTCTGAGGATTTCACGGAAATCCAACCACCGCTTCGTCGTCAAACCTTTTCCGGTCGCATGGATCTTGCACGCAGGTGGTTCTGTCTTGTGCGTAATGCTTTGTTTGATTTGATATTTTGTGGCAAGCAGCATGTCTTCTGCCATCCTTCCTTTGCCTGGATTTTGTAAAAATATGTTTTACTTTTGCATGTGGTTTGGGTTGCATGCTTTTTTTCATTTCTTTACTACGTTGTTGCATGAATTTTCTTTTGATGAGCATCTACGTTCCTCGGTTCGTGAGATCTGCATTTTAACTTTTTTTGCATTTATATGTTTTGCAGCTCATGGATATCCGTTTTGTTTAGTTACTCACATTCTATTTCTTTGCTATCTACAATTTCATCAGAGATCATATACGGAATAGAGAAATAGTCGAGAGCGAGGAGATAATTTCTAGTAAAATTCATGCTTTTTAGCAGAATGAGTAGATCTTTTTCACAAATTTATATATCTTGCAAGTTTTTAATCAATTTTTGGAGGTTGTGTAAGTTGTTTTGCAATTACTGCCTTTCTAAAAATCTGTTTCTAACATGCTATGCAAGTAATTTAGCTGCACGAATACAATTTGAACATCCCATACCGCAAACTGCATCTTAACAATTTCCCTATATGAGATAATTTGAATGAAAATCTTTATTGTTGGACTCTGACCAATATACCGATGCTTTTAGGAACTCGTCTCCTTCCATTTCGATGTTTAGTGGAGCTCGTGATCGTGTCAGTCCACAAGCAGTTCAAGATCTCTTGGAACTATGTAGAATAGGTTGGTTGTACAATAATTGTGCTTACGACATATATTGAATTTTTTTTCATTTTCTATTTATGTGTGCATGAACATTTTCATTCATGCTTTTCTTTTCGGTCTTCTGTTTCCTCAGATTCGTGAGAAAGTCTTATCACGAGTTTGCAACCTTCTTAATGAGAGAGTACCGGATTGGGACCATTTCTATGACTAAATTTTAAGGAGACGGGATGTATGCCTGCTCTGTGTGCATTTTCAGTAAAGTTTATGATTGCAGGGAAAGGGCGACGCGCGGCAAGCCCAGAAAGTATTCGAAGTAGCAGGTCACCCTCACCACCAACAAGTAGCGGACGCGCCTCTCCTGGTATGTATGCTAATTTTTTTGCACTAATTCTTGTACTG